AGTATTAATATCAGACAAAGTATACTTCAGAGAAAAAAATATTATCAGGCATAAAAAAGGCCATTTTATAATGATAAGGGGGTAAATTTATTAAGAGGACATAATCTTAAATGTTTATGCACCTCATAATGGAACTTCAAAATACATGAAGCAAAAACAGAAGAACTGTGAGGAGAAATAAGTAAGTTCATGATCACAGTTAGGGATTTCAATATTCTCCTTTTTCGATACTTAATAGGACAAGTAGGCAGAAAATTAGAAAGGATATAGTAGGGGCCAGCTCCATGGCTTAGCGGTTAAGTGTGCACGCTCTGCTACTGGTGGCCCGGGTTCGGAGCCCGGGCACGCACCGACGCACCACTTCTCCAGCCATGCTGAGGCGGCATCCCACATACAGCAACTAAAGGGATGTGCAACTATGACATACAACTACCTACTGGGGCTTTGGGGAAAAGGGGGAAAAAAAGGAGGAAGATTGGCAATAGATGTTAGCTCAGGGCCGGTCTTCCTCAGCAAATAAAAGAGGAGGATTGGCATGGATGTTAGCTCAGGGCTGATCTTCCTCATAAAAAAAAAAAAAAAGAAAGGCTATAGTTGACTTGAACAACACTATCAAGCAATGTAACCTGATTGACTATTACAGACCACTCAAACTAACAACAGCAGAATACACATTCTTTTCAAGGGGGCATGGAACATTCACCAAGATAGACCGTATTCTGGGCCATAAAACAAGTCTCAATAAATTTGAAAGTGAAAGCATTCCAATCATACAAAGTTCTCTGACTATATGCTATTAAAATTAGAAATCAATAACAGAAAGCTGCCTAGAAAATCCCCAAATATTTGGAAACTAAATCACATATCACTAATTTTACTATCATCTTCATGGGCAGGGAGATTCTCAGCTGTAATCTAGGTTACAGTGTACATTGGGTAACTGGCATAAAAGAAAGAAAAACGGAAAACTTGGTTTTCCAGTGTAGAGGAAATACAGATAATAATCACTTAAGAGTTAAATTTGGTGTTAAGGTAGAGAAGTCCTTTGGGGATAATGATCAGCATATTGACAGGGATCTAGTGTGGACCCATTCCTTTCATTTCCAGTTTCCCAGTCACCTGATTCCTCAGGGGTAGAGACTCTTGGAGAGTCTAGGAACTTTGCAAACATGTTAATGGTCTACATGGGGCCAATTATTCTCACTTCCTCACCTGCCTCCTATACTCTCATCAGTGAACACATTGTCCTCCCCAGTTGTGAGCTGATGGGCTGCCCAGGGGAAAACATGGCTCTGGGGTTGTCTCCTGCCAGTACAGGATCAGTTGTGAGGACCTGTCAGGGAGTGGGGATGCCTCGTTCCGCTCCCCACGTGAGAGGTTAAAGTCAGTAGCAGGCTCTGATCCCCAGACTCAGTCTAGGGACCCAATGAGTCTGGCTTTGTCTTTACTGTTTTTCTACTGAAGGCTTGTGTTCTGACCCCCAGAGCAACAGCTCTGCCATCAAGCCATGTGCTTTGCTGGAATTAAAGGTTTTGCTTAAGAACATCTCAACGAACTTTGAAGGAGGAAATTCTTTAGTGTTTGATTATCATCAGGTAATACTCAGATTTCTGGAAATTGTTAACTACTGATATGTATTCTGGAAGAAAGAAAATGTCCAGGACAACCATCCCATCCACAGGAATTTTCTGGGGCACAGAGAATTCTAGTAACTTAGAAAAGGATACTTATAGGGCTGGCCCCGTGGCTTGGCGGTTAAGTGCGTGCGCTCCGCTACTGGCGGCCTGGGTTCGGATCTCAGGCGTGCACCGAGGCACCGCTTCTCCGGCCGTGCTGAGGCTGCGTCCCACATACAGCAACTAGAAGGATGTGCAACTATGACATACAACTATCTGCTGGGGCTTTGGGGAGAGACAAAAAAAAGGAGGAGGATTGGCAATAGATGTTAGCTCAGAGCTGGTCTTCCTCAGCAAAAAGAGGAGGATTAGCACGGATGTTAGCTCAGGGCTGATCTTCCTCACAAAAGAAAAGAAAAGAGAAGAAAAGAAAAGAAAAGGATACTTATATGTGGCTCAGGAGGAAGATGTGTCTGCTCATGAAGGTACCTCAGGGTTTAGTGTTTCTCAAAGTGTGGTTCGGGGACCACCTGTTCCAGAATCATCAGATTTTTGGGCCTGGCTATAGATTTATTGAATCAAATTTTCTGAGGTTGGGACCTGGATTCTGCACATACAACAAGCTTCTCCTGTGAACCTTGGGCAGGGCACCTTAATGTTTAAGAACCATTGTTTGGGATCACTGTTGCTCAAAGAGACACTGGCTGCTTCCTTTGGCTGCCCGCTCTCTGTATGTTCACTCTGCTATCCCAGGGAGGAGGGCAAAGAGGCAAGTATAAATAAAGCCCCTTGCCTACTCCTCCCTCGTCTACAGCCCCCGGGCACCTGCTCTCACTCCTAGACACTCCACTCCCCAATCCATTCCATATGATAAGACTACCCCAGGGACCAGCCCAGTGGTGTAGTGGTTAAGTGCGCACACTCCGTTTCGGTGGCCCAGGGTTCGCAGGTTCGGATCCCGGGCGTGCACTGACGCACCGCTTGTCAAGCCATGCTGTGGTGGCGTCCCATATAAAGTGGAGGAAGATGGGAACAGATGTTAGCCCAGGGCCAATCTTCCTCAGCAAAAAGAGGAGGATTGGCAACGATGTTAGCTCAGGGCTGGTCTTCCTCACAAAAGAAAAAAAAAGACTACTCAAGTTTTCTTGCTAGTTTTCATTCAGAGGTAGAAACTGCAGCCAGCAGAAATAGTGGTTATTCCAGCATCCTTTGAAAAACTGTCAGAGATGTCAATTTCTCCACAATCTCTTGCTTGACTAACTCAGTATGTTCTGAACAGTTCTGAATTTAGTGCAAATTGGAGAAGAGAGATGAGACAGGAAAGGGGAGGAGAAGAGAAAGAGAGAGTAGATTTAAAGCAAGTAATAAATCTGGAGGCTCTGATCAGCTATCTACTGTATTACTCCCGGCCTACCCCATCCCCTCCCTCCTCTTCACCTCATCTACACTATCCTGAGCAATGGCCACATTCCTACTTTTCTCTGCTTTTGTCCATTCTTTTAATCAGAGAGATACTTGCAGGCCCATTACCCACACTGAAACAGTCTATTGAGGAAAGAAGATGTGAAGCTGGGTCTCAAGAAGTTCTACTCTACAATTAACAACAATTCCTCAACTTCTTTAAAGTTCTTATAAGTTATTCCCTCCTGGAATTTTTACAGTCATTTCTCTGAAGTCCTTGTAATTTGCCTTGAAGCTGAGTTGGCTTTTGACGCCAATGGGGCTGATGACATTTGTAACCCAAATCTAGGGCTGCCCATATTCCTACAGTAACAGGGTTTATTATAAACTAGAAGATGTTGAGTTAAGAATGGCTGAATGTTACATTTCAGTAACATCAAATGAATCAGAGTTACGCTCCACATGCTCTAAAAGAAGTTACCATTGTTCTGTGTTCAAATTTGCCCTCTTATATTTTGAGTGTCTCAACTTTATTAGGGCATGTTACCTCTCTGGGCATTACAATGCTTTATTCTTGTCACCACTCACAGTGTTCTATCAACAGCCATAGTGCCTTAATTACCTACTTGACAGCTAAATTTAGTTATCCATATGTCAGAGTCTTCCCCTGCCCTGGCAGTTTGCTGATTCTGGAAACTCTGCCAGTGGGATGAACTACAATCTTTGCCTGTTCAATGCAGTTCTTTCCTTTCCTGAATCCTCCCAACATCTCTTACAGCTGTGTTATTCATTTACTCTCCTCAGGGCAGGAAGAGGGAGCTCACTTTTGCCCTTTTCTGTCCTACCTCAATCACATATCCTGGCTTCAAAGTCTTTGCAACTGAGAGTCCTCCCAGGGTATTTAACAGACTCCGGGACCCAGATGTAATTCAGGAACATGGGTGGCCAAACAGCCAATGGAGAAGAAGAGTGTAATGTTTAGGTAATGTATCCATGGCCTTGTTCATTCTCTGAATAGAAAAGGCCTTTTTACAAAGCCCCAGTCCCAGGGAGGGGCTGTTCCTTCCCCACTGGCCCCGACAGCCCTTGGGTCCTGGGTGATTCTATTCACTGGAAATGACTGGTGCCTTCGTGAAGGATATGTGGCACTTTCCCCTTGGCCAATGCTGCTGAGTGCAAGGTCTCAGTTTGCTCTTTACAGCCCTACACCATCCCCATCTCTCCCCATCCCCAACCCTCATCACCTTTAGAACCCATAGTAGTGCCTGGCCTGTGCCAAGTTCAAAGAGACAATTTTATAGCTAAGCTAATGAACCACCTTCAACTCATCTGAACATTCAGGATCCTCTGAAGGCGTGTTTAGTCACTCCGACTTAGCACATGTATCTCTGTCATATTGTTCGGTGGTAGGTTGCTTGCCAAATTTTGTCCTTGTTTTATTTTATTTATGGGGTTTAGTTATGTGTTAGGTCCATCTACCTAATAAGAATAATCAAAACTAACATTCTTTGAACTTTCTCAATGTGCCAGGCTTTGTTCAAGTGTTTGACATGAATTAACTTGTTGAATTTTTACAACAATCTTTTGAGATTAGTGCTATTTTCTCTATTGTACAGATGAGAAAAACTGAGACTCAGAGACGTTAAGTAACATTCCCAAGGTTACACACCTAGTTAGTGGTGAGGTCCCAGCTTGGAACTTTGGCATTCTGATGCCAGACCCTGTGTTCTTAAACATGAAATGTACTCTTTCTAGAATATAAGCTTCCTGAGGTCAGACACTCTTGAATTCCTGAAGCGGGGAACACAGAACTAAGCATATGAAAGACTGTCACTAAATATTTGGTAAGTAACTATTTCATTATTTAGCATTTTTTAAAGATCTCTGAGGGAACAAACTGTGTACATTTCTTTTATATTTTCCATCGCTGCTCAAGTGAGGCTTCCTAATTAACTAACCAACCAAGTAGAGAAGACCTTCTCTATGACGGAGTTCCATCTACAAAGCCGGACTTCCTCAGTGAGACTAACCTTCATAAGGCTGTCCTTAGGGCAGAACTAAACCCAGTGAGACCCCCTGGGTGTTCCACCTCATTTCTAGTGGTCCCCTCTTTCCACCCCAGAGCACTGGAGAAATATGAGAGAGGCAAACCTCAGCCGAGGGATTGAGTTTGAGCTCTTGGGCCTGACCAGTGACTCCCAGCTCCAGATGCTGCTCTTCGTGGTGTTCCTGGGCACGTACACCATCACTCTGCTGGGGAATCTGATCATGTTCCTTCTGATCCACGTGAGTGCCACCCTGCACACACCCATGTACTCCCTTCTGAAGAGCCTCTCCTTCTTGGATTTCTGCTACTCCTCCACGGTTGTCCCCCAGACCCTGGTGAACTTCTTGGCCAAGAGGAAGGTGATCTCCTATCTTGGCTGCATGGCTCAGATGTTCTTCTATGCGGGCTTTGCCACCAGTGAGTGCTATCTCATTGCTGCCATGGCCTACGACCGCTATGCTGCTATTTGTAACCCCCTGCTCTACCCAATCACCATGTCTCCTGAGATCTGTGCCTTTCTGATCGTAGGCTCCTACGGTGCAGGATTTCTCAATTCTCTTATCCACACAAGCTGCATCTTCAGTCTGAAATTCTGTGGTGCTCATGTGGTCACTCACTTCTTCTGTGATGGCCCGCCCATCTTGTCTCTATCCTGTGTGGACTCCTTGCTATGTGAAATCCTGCTTTTCATTTTTGCTGGTTTCAACCTTTTGAGCTGCACTCTAACCATCTTGGTCTCCTACCTCTTAATTCTCATCGCCATCCTGAGAATGAACTCAGCCCAGGGCAGATTCAAGGCCTTTTCCACCTGTGCTTCCCACCTCGCTATAGTGTGCCTCTTCTATGGCACAACACTTTTTATGTACCTGCGCCCCAGGTCCAGCTACTCCCTGACCCAAGACCGCACGGTTGCTGTAATCTACACAGTGGTGATCCCAATGCTGAACCCCCTTATCTACTCTTTGAGAAACAAGGATGTGAAAGAAGCTTTAAGAAAGGTTTTGGGCAGGAAAATAATGGAATGATCTTCTCAACTCATTACCAATGTGTCTTTAGAGAGCTGAGGGAAATTTACCTTGTGTGGTACTAACCTGAGCACATTGCCATGCTCGTCCCCATGAGTACTGGGCATGCTCTCTGGTCTACAGGTGCTTCTGCATCTACGTGCCGCAGAAAGAATTGAGAGTGTCATGGAGAGTAAAAGAAGTGAGAAGGGAGTGTCTGCTTTTTGCATAATTGGACCTATTGGCAAGATTTAGTTATGCCTTTGTTCAGATGCTACGTTCATAATTCCATGTTTGTGAATATTTTATTCTATTATTAGAAACTGACATTTATATTCTTCATAATAAAGTTCTCCCCTTAACTAATTCGAAGTCCTTGTCTGCTTGGGGAAATCCTCCCCATTCTTTACAATCTCTTCTTTATAAAAACTGACTACATGGCTTAAAAATTTTTTTGGTTGTCTAATTATTTGAATGACACTGAACAACAACTTTATGACAACCTTCACATAATGTTTCATTGTCTTCGTTGACTTTTTGCCTGGCCAAATAGCCACTTGGTCACTTTCAAACTGAATAAACTTGGGCAAATTACTCAGCTTTTCTAAGTCACAGATACCTCATCTTTTAATTGGTGTGAGTTTTAAATTAAGTATTCAATTAGATATTGCAGGTAAATCACTCAGCACATAATAGACATTTGCGTGTTCCCTCACCTTTTCCTTTACATCAGCCCCTAAGTTCTCACCAAGTGAGATGAGGAATGTTCCGCCTTTCTCAAAGGCTTGTTGTCCCTGTTAGTGTTCTGTTCTTGCTAATTTATAAGTTGTGATTGAATTAAATTAAATCTTTTTAAATAAGAGGAATTATGTAGAGGGAGCTCAATCAAGCATGATATTCCTGAGCTCTGTGCCCTCATTGATAAACTTGAGAAAAATAAACCAGGCATGCTTGGCTGGTCCCCTCACAAGCAGATACCTGCCTTGGTCCAGCGCATCCACGACTGGTTCAGCAAAGAGTCTTAACTCTGGAGTCCAGTTTCATAAAGACCATTTTCCCACAGGTGCAATCCATGTGCCCTCATCTAGCCTTTAACAGTAATGCAATTGATGTTTTGCTTCCTATCTGATCATATTTTATCCTTTTTCCAAATTGTTTAGAATCAGGAGGGGAAGAATGGTGTTACATATTGACACACCCTCACAAAGACCCTGACACTGAACTTGTTCCTGAATTTCCATGGAAATTTCACCTTTTATTGTAAAGTTTACTGTTAGCCTTTAGTATTTAATGTTGATCATATTTAGGTATACCTATTTCCTCTTAGTGCTAACTAGAGATTTTATTAGAGGCAGTGTATAGCTGATAAGGATGTGGGCTGTACAGCCACTCCCCCTTGGTTCACATACTAGCTCCATCATTTCCTTTATGTGTGACGTTATTCAATCTCTCTGAGTTTCAGTTTTCTCTTTCATAAAATAGGAATAATAATAATAATTGCAGCAATACAGTTGTTGTTAGGAGAATTAAGTAAGTTAATGCAAGCAAAGCACTTAGAACAATGCCTGGCGCATAGAAAACACTTAATAAACATTAACTGTTATTAGAAATGGCTGCTGACTTTTTATCAAATACTTTTTAATGATTCTTGATATAATGATGTGATCTTCCTCCTTAATTTTGTTCCCGTGGTGAATTGAAGACACAGATTTCCTAATGTTAAACCATTTTGTTTCCTGGAATTCTACTTGGTCATGAACTGATTTTCTTTTAATAGACTATTGGGTTTGATTTGCAAAGATTTTATTTAGACTCTTGGCATCTATATTCAAAGATAAAGCTGGTCTGTTGTCATTTTGTATCATCTTTATTATGTTTTAGTATTAAGAGTAAACTAGATTTATAAAATGTGTTTAAATTCTTTCTTTTCCTATAGTGTGGAATAATTTAAATAAGATAGGAATATATGTTATTTAAAAATGATATATACTCAGCTCTAAAACCATCTGAGACTGGTGTCTTTTTGAAAGGTAAATATTTAAATACCTTTCCAATTTTTTATGATTATTGGTTTAATTTTGGGTTTTTTTTCCTGATTATTAATTCAATTTGATCATTTGTGTTTCACTTAAAAATTATTTCCTTCCTCTAGATTTTCAAATTTATTGCCATGAGTTGCACATAATGTTCTCTTATAATTTTTGTGCTTGTTCTCTAGGTCAGCACCATCTACACTGACTCCTCTGGGTCTCTCCAGATAGTTTGTTCCATTTTTAGGACAATGTAAGAAAAACAAATCCTCTTCTGTAAAATGAGAGAAATGCATTAAGTGGTCTGGAAGGGTCTTCTGGACTCTAAAATTCTATGAGATGAACATTTGAAGGAAGGCAATCTTGAGGAATGATTAAAGACATATACTGAAGTGCTAGGCTGCCTAGATTCTAATTCACTCACTAGCTATGTAACCTTGGGGAAGTCCTTTTAGCTCTCTGTGCTATAGTTTTTTTCATCTGGGAAATAGGGATAACAATAAAACCTATCTCATGTCTGGAACTGTTGTGAAAATTAAATGACATAATACTTGTGATACTTGTGAAAATTAAATGACATAGTATCTAAAACAGTGGCTGGCATACAGTAACTCTTCCGTAAGTAGTAGCTACTTTTCTTTCTTTTGTTTGTATCTGTGATTATATTGCCTTATACATTCTTCATATTTTTGTTTGTTTTCTTTTATTTTCTTTAGTAATGCTTGACAGAGGACTTTATTAACCTTTTAACACATTCTGTTTTGTGGTTCTTCTTCTTATTACTGTAATGTGTCAGTTTCTCATTTTATTAATTTCAGGGTTTTTTTTATTAATTCCTTCTTTCTTCTTTCTTTTTATTTATTTTGTTTTTCTTTTGTCAAGCAGTTGTTATTAAATATTGAAAATCTATGAAAGAATATTTTAAATGTATTTTTCATCTATGTATCTATGTATCTATGTATCTATCTATGTATCTATCTATGTATCTATCTATCATACAATGATTAAAAATAAAATGCAATCACTCACAATCCAGCTAAAGAGACAATATTACCAATCTACTAGGAGCCATTCTTGCTTTATCTTCTAGGGGTGCTTATTCATAATTCATGTCTTTTTCTTTTTGATCTGTATTTTTTTTGTATGCTGAAAATTAATCTTTTGTTGGTTAAATGTGTGGCAAATATCTTTACCTAGTTTATGTCATTTTAAAATGTTATTTATTTTTACTTTCTTTATGATGTGCTGATTAATAGAAGGTCTGAATTTTAATATCAGCAGATTTATCAGTTCTTTCCTTTCTGGTGTGAATTTTTTTAATGTGTGTCTTAAGAATTCTTCCCAACTGTAAGATCATAAAGATAGTCTATGCTTTCTTCTAAATGTTTTTAAAAGTTTTGCCTTCACATTTGTTTTGGTGTTAGGTTGGGATTAAATTTCTTTTTTCTTCCAGTTGTCCCAGAACCATTTCTTGCATAGGCACTCAATATCCTGCTGATCTGTAGTGCCACTTCTGTCATAAATAAAGTTTCCACACATGCGTGAGTCCCTTTTTGCATTCTCTATTCTTTTTTTTTTTTTTTTAAAGATTTTTTTTATTTTTTTATTTTTCCCCCCAAAGCCCCAGTGGATAGTTGTATGTCGTAGCTGCACATCCTTCCAGTTGCTGTATGCGGGACTCGGCCTCAGGATGAACAGAGAAGTGGTGCCTCGATGCGCACCCGGGATCCGAACCCCGGGCCACCAGCATCGCAGCGCGCGCACTTAACCACCAAGCCACAGGGCCGGCCCATCTATTCTTTTTTTTTTGTGAGGAAGATCAGCCCTGAGCTAACATCCATGCTAATCCTCCTCTTTTTGCTGAGGAAGACCAGCTCTGAGCTAACATCTATTGCCAATCCTCCTCCTTTTTTTTTCCCCAAAGCCCCGGTAGATAGTTGTATGTCATAGTTGCACATCCTTTTAGTTGCTCTATGTGGGACACAGCCTCAGTATGGCCGGACAAGCAGTGCATTGGTGCGCACCCGGGATCCCAACCCGGACGCCAGTAGTGGAGCGCGCGCACTTAACTGCTAAGCCACGGGGCCAGCCCCCGTGCATTCCCTATTCTATTTCATTGGTGCATTTGTATTTCTCTGCACTGATAGCACACTGTCTTAGTTAGTATATCTTTACAATAAGTCCGTATCTTGTGGGGCATATTCCCCACCCCCATCACCTGGCCTGTAGCCTAGGTCTTTCTCTTTAGGTGTATCTTGGTAATTCTTGACCTTTTGCTTTTTTTTTCTTAATTTTAAAATTTATTAGCCTGCCAAGTTCTATGAAAAATCTTGTTGGAATTTTTATTGGAATTGTACTGAATATATAGACAAGTTTGGGAGAATTCATATCTTTATGATATTGAATCTTCCTATCCACGAACATGGTACATCCCTGTATTTATTTAGGTTTTCTTTAATGTCTCATTAGAATTTCATAATTTTGTTAATATTTTCTGCATATCTAGGGACCTCATATTTTTGCATATCTATGTACCTTATAAATAGTATTTTAAAAAATAACATTACCTGGGTATTTGTTGCTCATGTACAGAAGTAAAATTGTCTTTTGTGTATTTATTTTTTGTCCAAATAATTGCTAAACTTTCTTTATTAATACAAAATTTTATCTGTAGATTGGGGGTATTTTAACGGAGATAATCAGATAATATGTTATCATCTTCCTTTCTAATCCTTATACTTAAAAACTTCTTTTTCTTGCTTTACTGCATTGATTTGGAACTTCAGCACAATATTGAATAGAAATGTTGAAGGAAGACACCTCTGTCTTATTCTTGGTTTAAAGGGAATGCTTTTTAATAATTTGACTATTAAATATGATGTTTGATCTAGGTTTTTTGTAGAAAAACTTTATCAGGTTAAGGATAGTACTGTTTAGCATTAGTTTTCTAAATTAAAAAAATCATATTATTTGATTAGCTCATTAATTTTT